CCATCCAGTCCCACCCCCTGCCATGGCAGGGACACTTCCCACTGTCCCAGGCTGCTCCAAGCCCCATCCAGCCTGGCCTTGGACATTCCAGGGATCCAGGGGCAGCCACAGCTGCTCTGGGCACCCTGTGCCAGGGCCTCAGCTCCACGTGGGGAGCTCTTCATGTGCCCTTTTCTGGGCCAAGGCATGGCTCAGCTGTGGCAGCCATGGCTGCATCAGGAGAGCGGGGTGGCCAGGGAGGGGACAGGGAGTCCTTGTGTGGCATTTGTGTGCCAAGGGCAGGGGCAAAGGCAGCAGGGAGGCAGCACAGAGCTGCCCTGGAGGGTGAAATGAGCCCCCAGCCCAGCACTCCCTGGTTCTGCAGGAGCCCTGAAACACCCAGGGCACCCCAGTCACAGGTGCACCCCCCCAGAGCCCGTACACCTGGGCAGCCATGATGTGTGACACACAGCACTGTGTCACACACAGCACTGTGTCACACACACCCCACAGCAACATGGAGCTGGATGTGCCCCCATGGAACCAGTGAGGTTGGAAAAGGCCTCCATGGAGTCTGACCACTGACCCAGCACTGCCACCTTCACCCCTACACCGTGTCCCCAAGTGCCACATCCACACACCTGTGGAACACTTCTGGCTACAACATGCACATACAAGGGGCAGAAATCTGGGTGAGTGTGGAGTGCTCTCAGAGCTCCCTGGGATCTGGCAGGCTTGGTGAGAAGGACTGAGCCCTGCCCAGGGCCTCTGCCATGGTTTGGGCTGGCAAATGCCAGCCAGCTGAAAAGAGAGATCCTGGAGCAGAGAGCAGTGGGGTGAGGCTGTGAGAGGGCAGGGAGTCTGCCCCATCCTCTGCCTTCTCTGTGCCCTCAGCTAAGCTGGTCTAAGGTGGATTTGCAGCATTGAAGACAATAGAAATAGAGCAGCATCTTCTGAAAGCCACGTCCACCCCAGGAGTTGAGGAGGGGCATGGTGGGCAGTGGCATTGCCCAATTCCCCTGTGGTGCAGAGCCCCAGCCAGAAGCTGATCACAGCCTGTGGTGCCTCACTGCCTGGAGACCTATCCCTGGAAGTGTCCAAGGCCAGGTTGGTTGGGGCTTGGAGTAACCTTCCAGGTCTAGTGCAAAGTGTCCCTGCCCATGGACTTTAAGGTCCCTGCACCCCAAACCACCCAGGAATTCTGTTCTGTGGTTCCAGGCCCTGCCTGGTGTCTGGAGCTGCTGGAGGTGCTGCTGGAGGTGGGTTGGGTACAGCTCACCCAAACCTGCAGGCTGTGAACCAGGCCCTGAAGCTGCATCTGGCCGGGGTCAGGTACACACAAAAGTGCCATAAATCAGCTCAGGTCAGGTCAGTGCATCCCCTCTGAGCATCAGCAAAGCCACTGGGAAGAGCAAGGGCAGTCCTGAGGAAATAGACTGAGGGGAACAGAGGTAATGGGGTGAAACCAGTCCCTTCCATGGGCTCAGGGGTCCTGTCCTGGCCCTGGCAGCCCCTCTGGGACCCTCTGCTGGACAGGTCTTCTCCTGCAGTGACCCTGGTGTCCCCTCTGTGGTGCAGGGCTGACCACCCCTGCTTGGGTGCCTGGCTCAGGGCAGGGTGACACAGCAGGGACACTGGGCTGACACCTGTCCCAGGAGACAGCCCTTGACAGTCTGTGAGCTGCAGGATCTTGGATTTGGGAGATTTAGTTTCAAGCTTTGTCCATTCTTCCAAATCCAAAAGACGGTGGGGAAGCTCTTACTGGACTTTTCCTTTCCCTGTCCCCATGTCTTAACAAAGTGCCAAGGATTGCAGAGGGTAATTGAAATGTAGAAAAACAGTTTAATCCCTCTTAGAGGGAGGCCAGCTGCCAGAGGAGGCAGCAAAGACACCATGGTGGGCACTAGAATGTGCCCCCAGCAGGGATGCACCTCACACCTCCCTTGCTGCCAAGGGAAGGGATCCTGGAGCAGACAGGACAGGCTGCAGGATCACACCTGGGGCAGCCCCACAGCAGAAGGGAGCAGTGAACTCTGCCACACAGAAGTGAGTGCCCACCCTTGGCAGGGGGAAACCAGTCTAGGAGAGAGGGAGCTCCCCTGCTCCCACCTTCCCACCTCTTCTGCTCCTGCCCCTCCAAAACTTTCTCTTCTCTCCTTTCCCACTCATCCCCCAGCCCCTCAGGGTTTCCTCCCTGCCCCTCTGCCTCTCCAGCACCTGGAACCAGCCTGGCCTTAGCTCTTCTCCTCCTCCTGTGCACACCAGACCTTCACTGCACGGCATTGATCTGCATTGCTTCATTCCATTTCATGGCCCTACTTCCTTTGATTCTTAAGGCAGTTTGAGTTTATCTGGAACCCAGTGAGCACAAGGCAGTCATGGGCTGCCTTAGGAAGAGATTCCTGCTTCAAATATCACCTGTTCTCAGAAGGCAAAGATGTATTTACTATCAATATCCAGAGACATCCCTTTGTAATCAAATCAGGGTGTGAAGTCTCCTCAGGGAGCCTGGTTCCTGTGGTGGTTCCTGTGAGCCTGGTTCCACAGCATCTCTTGGAGCAGGAGGGCCCTGGGCACAAGGGAAGGATTTTACTGGGATTTACTGGGGGAAGAAGGGGAGGGAGAGTGGCTGTGGCAGGCAGAGCTGAGCCTGGGTGGTGTTCAGGGAGGATTTGAGCTTCTGCCTCCTGCAGGGCTTCTCTCCAAGGTGTGCAGGTGGAGCTTGGCCATCCAAAGCCATCTGGAATTCAGATCAATAGCTCAGCCTGGAGCCTGTCCTACACCCCATCCTTCCCTTCTGCCTGGAGGGTTTCCTCTGGGAACATCACCTGGGACTCTCTGTCCCTGCTCTGTGGGCACTGTGGGTGCCAGCTGGCACACCTGAGCCTCCCTGCTGGCACCCCCCAGCCAGCACCACCCCAGATCCACCAGCCCAGTGGGTCCCATGGGCAGGGGACTCCAGGGGGCTGATGCTGCTGGAGAGTACAGCGGGAATTAGGATCACACCTGCAGGGGAATTAGGATCGCACCCACAGGGGAATTACAGGGGCATTAGGATTGCACCCACAGGGACCAGAAGCAGCTGGGCCCCATCAAGGCTAAAGCTGCATTTGATGTTTGGGCAGAAAGGTCAGGTTTGGTGTCAACACTTCCCAGCTCAGGCCATGTCCCCATCCCCAAATGCCTGGGCACTGTCTGTGTGGGGCAGAGGGGCCAATCTTCACTCCCAGAGCAGCACAGCCCAGCAGGGGCAGGGCACAGCTTGGAGGTGAAGGCTGCTGGAGCAGCTCAGCAGGAGGAAAGGAGCAGCCACTGCATGGGGCCGTGCAGCCTCTGCAGGGCCTGGGTCAGGACCAGCCCCATGGGCCCGGGATGCCCAGGGATGCCCAGTGCTGGGAAGTTGCCATGGGTGCAGGGAGCAGTGGGCAGTGCCCAGGGCAGGTGGGCTGAGGTCAGCCTGGGCAGGACCCTCTGAGCAGGGCTCAGGGGAGGGGGACTGGGGTCTCCATTGGAGCAGGATTGGAAGCACAGGCTGTGCTTGCTGCAGCTTTACAAAGCCCAGCTTGGCTCTGCCAACCCACTGGGAGTGACAGAGTTAAATGGAGACTGCAAAGCCCATTAAGCCATGGAATAAATTCCACTTCTTTTTCTTTCGTGCTTCCAAACAATTATTTAAAGCTCTGGCTGCTTTTCATTATTAATATATTTTTGCCTGAGTGAGGAAGACGAGCCTGTCGATTCCTGCCACCCTGCAGTGGTCGCTCCACTCCCACACCCCTTTGCTGGCCTTGCTGCACGTGGGGGACAAGTTCCTGGAGGAGACTGGAGACGCATTCATGGCTGAAAGGGAGAAGCCAGGAGCACAGACTGCCACCTGTGCTCCTCACAGGGACATACCATCTGCATCTCTTAAAAGCCACTCTCTCTTTTTTGAGCAACACTCAAACTAAACCAAAAAGGAACTAAGAAACTAAACTAAAATGTAACAGGAAATAAGAGTTCATTTATACACTCTGTGATTTTAAGTTTTGAGTATGGAAAATCAACTTGTTGATTGACAGCTCAACTCAGATAAATGTTCATTGATTTTTCTTTTAAGCAAACCCAAAAGGTTTGTCATTTTTCCCTTTATAACACAGTAAAGATGAGGATCCCTCTGAACCAAGCAGGATGGGGCAAGACCACTGGGGAGATATTCAGTGAGGATCCCTCGGGGGATCCAGCTGCCTTTCCACCACCCACAGGGATTCTGTATCTGCTAAAAGGAAGGACCAACCCCAGCCCCTCACTGTGGCAGAGGGGACAGAGGGGCTGGCTGGGAGGGTGGCACCGGTGACACAGCTCCTCAGGAGTGGTGCAGCCCAGCAGGAATAATCGTCTGAGCAGCCAACAGCTTCTCAGGTCAGGCTCTGAGTGCTCAGAAACACCTCAGCTCCTATGGAGCTACTGACACGCTGTGCTCCAGGGCAGAACCTGCCAGGAAGGCAGCAGAGGTGTTTGCAATGGTGTCACATTAGCACAGCTGTGGGAGCTGTGCCAGCCCTGGGATCCATCACCTGGGAACACCAGGCACCCTGCAAAGCTGGGGTGCTCGGCTCCAGACTGGCTGGGCTCATCAGGACCTGCTGGGCTTTGACAGCAGGCTTTCCTCCCAGCTGAGCAGATGGACAGAGCAGGGACCTGCTGGCAGTGCCTCTGTCACGCTGTTCAATCCCACGTGCAGCAGCAGAGCAGCAGCAGCAGTGTTGCTGAGCAGCCTGTGGCTGGGCACTGAGGCACACGAGCGCTGCAGCTGCAGTGGGAACGTGAATCCTGTCCCTCCTCTGCTGGGCCTGCTCTCTCCAGCCCCTGGTCTCAGACCCCTTCTCCTCCCCTCCTGCCTCTGCCATCCTGCTTCTCTCCTTTGTCCCTTAACCGTGGTGGCATTTGCTTTCAGAGGGGGACAGGGATGTGCCCCCAGTGAGGAGAGGGGTGCCAGAGGGGTTCACAGTGGTCTCTCAACATCTGGTCTCTTCTTCCAGCTACAGGGAGGTCTGCGAGGGCTCTGCCACACCGTCCCTGAGCCATGGTCTAGGAAGCACCGGGACCATGAAGGGCTTAGGAGACAACAGAAGCCGCCATCTCTCCGAAAACCTGGACTCCCCTCAAGACTCTCTTTATGCCCCCCAGGACAGGAACCCTTATCTCCTCAGCCCCACCGACTCCTTCACCATGGATCCCCGATTCCCGGCCCAGAACACCGTACACGGAGACTGTCTCCTGCCGCTCAACAACCAGATCTCCAACAGCAGCACTTTCCCCCGCATCCATTACAACTCCCACTTCGAGGTCCCGGATGAAAACCCTTTTCCGAGCCACGCCCAAGCCACAAAGATCAACCGCCTGCCTGCCAACCTCCTCGACCAGTTTGAGAAGCAGCTGCCCATCCACAGGGATGGCTTCAGCACGCTGCAGTTCCAGCGGAGCGACGCCAAGCACCGGAGCGAGAGCCCGGGCCGCATCCGGCACCTGGTGCACTCCGTGCAGAAGCTCTTTGCCAAGTCCCAGTCCCTGGAGGGCCCCGCCAAGGGCAACGTGAACGGGAAGAAGGGGGCAGATGACACCAAGCAAAACCGGAGGAGCAAGAGCAAGGACCGGGCAAAGACCTCCGAGCCCAAGCGCAGGACCAGGTCCAACATCTCGGGCTGGTGGAGCTCCGATGACAACCTGGACAGCGACACCTGCAGCTACCGCAACCCCATGGGGCTGATGACGCTGGGCCGGCAGCCCGACCACAGCCAGCCAAAGTACTTCATGCACGCCTACAACACCATCAGCGAGCACATGCTGAAATCCTCCAAGAGCAATAACGACCTCAAGGTCACCCCTTGCACCAATATCCCCATCAACAACGACTCCAACTACATCAAGCGGGGCTCCTGGTCCACGCTGACACTCAGCCATGCCCGGGAGGTGTGCCAGAAGGCCTCCGCCACCATTGACAAAGCCTTGCTCAAATCCAAGTCCTGCCACCAGGACCTGGCCTACCACTACCTGCAGGTGGGTGCCACGGGGGAATCCGGGGTGCTCCGTGCAGGGAGAGCACGGGAGCTCAGGGACATCCTCTTGGTGGGCACCTGTGTGACCTTATCCAACATCTCCAGATGGTTCAGCTGCCAGCTCGGGTCACACTGCCAGGAGAGGGCTGGGGAGGGCCCTGGGAACAGGCCCCTACTCCTCCTGTGGGGACACTGATACTAATGGGGTCCATCTCCCACAGCTGCGGCACAGTCCCAGCGCCTCCAGTCCCTGTGGAGGGGACATGCCACCCCACCTCCTCTGCTGGGTGTGACCCCATTCCCTGCAGGGCTCCCACGCGTCCCCACTGCCTGCCCAGGCCCTGCAGTTGCTGGGGAACACTCCTGGGCAGTGGGGACGTAGCTGCCCCATGTGGCTGTTTGCCCTGAGTGCCCACACAGCCGGGAACACTCAGGGGCCACATCTCACCGGACACAGCCCCCAGGCCCCACGGAGCCCCCTGTGCCTGAAGGTCAGCAGCCCTGACTAACGCTCCCCCCTTATCTCCACGCATCCCAGGACGCGCCGGCGTGCCCGGCCAGCCCTGCCCTGCCCAGCTTCCCTGGAGCACTGGTAGGAGCCCAGCGGGCAGGGTGGGGCAGCAGGGCAGTGCCAGCCCCACTTGCATGGCCTGCATGGCTGATGCTGGTTTGAAAGCCTGGCACCTGCAGCTCCAGGTCTGCAGCAGGCTCCAAAAGCGGTGCTGGAGCAGCATGAACCTGGTTGTGCCCAGAGAGAGGAATGAAGACAAATAAGCCAGGCCTGGGTGGGGGGAGGAGGGGACTAGCCTGTGCATGTAAATCTCTAGCATCCTTTTAATGCAAAGGTGCCAGGGGCTTTCCTGGCTGTGCCCAGCCAGGTTAGAGGCTTTAAAAACTGATGAATTATTGAAGCACACTCAGCTTCCAATACCTCGCTGGCCATGGCTGCAAATCAGATTTCCAAGGGACTGAACTGACTGCATCAGGAACACCAGCAGGGAAAATGATCTTGGCCTGGTTTCTTTTTCTTTCCCCCTGCTCCTTCCCGTTAAGCATTTGAGGTTAAAGAGCTGCAGGCAAGCTCTCCGAGGGCCCTGTTCCCTCAGGCTGCAGCACCGAGCCCAGCAGGCAGCCCCGACAGCCCCTGGGCTCTGGGGTGCAAGGCTGCCCTGCTCCTTCCCCCCATGTAATGAGCCTCCGTTTCTCGACAGCCTGACGCAGGGCTGTGGGCACAGCTGGGTGGCACGGGCCTGGCCAGCAGCTGGGCAGCGCCACCGCTCGGCTGGGAGGACACGGCTGCCCCGCAGAGCTGGGACCAGCCCCTCAGCCCCGCGCCGACCGACGCAGGCAGCGCCCAGGTAGGGATCTTGTTTGGAGCAGGAGCTTTTGCCCAGTTCCTCCTGCTCTGATCCTCCTGGGACCGCTGGCCAGGGGCTCAGCCTGCGCCACCGGACTTGGAGCGGGCAGGGAGCAGCCAACAGCCACGACTGGCGTGTCAGGAGAGACACAGGGGACACCAGGGTGTGACCAATATCCCCAGTGCCTGGGGCAGGCCCTGTGCTTGGTTCACCAGTGGTTCACCACCAGAGACAAGACCTCGGGCACCCAGTCCCAAAACCACGGTGCCTGGTGCCCCCCCAAGCTACTTGGGCTCACCTTGTCCCCAGGTGTCCAATGTCAGCCCCAAAGATCAGGGCTCAGGGACCTCACAGGAGCATGGGGTCATTGTATCCCTGCCCCTCCTTGGCACAGGAGAGGCGATGGAGAAGTGACCCCTGGAGCCTGTGTGTGGGGAATGTCTTTTGCAAGGCCAAATGTCCCCTGTCACACCTGGGGACAGAGCGAGCCCACTCCCTCCATGTGCCAGGGGGAGGAACAGCAAGGATCTACTTTCCCAGTGCCTGGGGACACAGGGCCCTGCCCTGCTGCAGAGGGTGCTGCTGCCAGGCAGAAATGCCCAGTGGGTGCCAGAGGTGCAGGGACACAGGGGAGGGCAGGAATGGGATGGGGACAAACAGGACAGCCCAGGCCCCAAGGCTATTCACCTCTCCTGCCCCATTTGAAAGGTCCTTTGGGGGTATTTTGGGGATTCATCAGCAACTATTGGGGGTCCATGTGATGTTTCCAGGCCCTGGAAACATCCATAGCCAGATGTTGTAGCTGGTGATCACCCAGCCCCAGGTCCAGCCCTCCCTATCCCATGAGGGTAGGGAACTCTCAGATCAGTCCCTAGGATGACACAGCTCCATCCTTAGAATACAGTCTCCAAGGAGGGAGGCTGTGCTCCACATCCCCGGTCCCCCTGTCCCCATGGGCCCCTTGGGCAGCTGAGAGTACAAGGAAAGAGGCTGAGGAGCTCCTTGGAGTGGGAGATACCCCAGGCAGGAGTGAGCAGGAGCTGTGGATCCACAGACAGCACTGGAGTGAGGCAGTGTGGTGGCTCAGAGGGGACAGTCACCATTGACCTGATGCATCATCCAGACCAGCCTCCCCAACCCCACCTACAGCCAGACCACCCCAGAGCTTCCTTAACCCCCAGGAGCCCTAAAAATAATTCATCATCCAGAGTGGGTGGCCTGACCAGTGCCAGCCACTCCACGGTGCTGAGTGCCTCAAGCCAGCCCCACCGATCTGCCACGGAGCAGGAGCACAGCCCAGGTCCTTCCCAGAGGGTGCCCTCCAGAGGGACAGCCTGGCTGCAGCTTGCTTCTCAAGGACATGGCTGAGCCCGTGGGACAGCACAAGGGACAGGGAGCAGCGCTGTGCCTGCAGCAGTGCAGCCTGTGCATGGCCCTGCAGCCCTGCAGCGCTCAGCAGGGCCTTCTGTGCTGCATGTCCGTGTGTGCATGGCAGAGCTGGCACTTGTGTGATGGAAACCCTGTTTGCTCTTCCAGTCTCTTCCCCCTGACCTGCCCCGAGTGGAGGGAGCACTGCAGCTCCTGCCAGAGCCCAGCAGAGCAGCTCCCCTTCCCCCTGCCCCTGCTCTGTCAGGGCTCCAGGGACTGGGGGACAGGAGAGCAGCACAGGCAGACGGTGCTGCTGGCTGGGGACTGTGCAGCACCTGGTGACAGTGCAGTGTGGTGGCAGCACCTGGTGACAGCTCAGTGTGGTGGCAGCATTGGAGCCCAGCTCCAGGGGTGGACACGTGCCTGGATCCCACACCCCTGCACCACATGGCACCACACGGCCCATGACTGAGCACAAGGAAGGACCCACATCCTGCAGCCCCCAAGTCCCCATAAAGTCTCTGGACCTGGGCATCCTCTTGCTCCCCACTCTTTCAGTAGCCAAAGCACAATGGGCAGAGCCAAGGCCACACCTGGCAGAGCAGCAGGAAGGGCAGCAGGGCCCCACCACCTGTGAGGAACTGCTCTGTGCCTGCCTGGGTGCCCTCATCCCACTTTGGCATGACACACAGTCAGTGCTCAGAGCCCCGGGTGTCACCTGCCAGGAGCTCTGCTGCCACCGAGGGGCTGCACTGGCCACTGTCACGTCTGTCCTTGATCACAGCAGCTGCTCTGGCTGTCACCCCCATGGCAGAGCTGCAGACTGCAGGACAGGCTCCTCACATCCTCCTGCACAGAAGCACCCAGAGGACCCCAAACAGCACCCAAAGGACCTGCACTGCTTTTGCAGGGCCCCGAGGGCACCTGCTTGTCTCTGCAGGTGTGACACTTAGGAAACACTTGTCCTGCTCTCTGTCCCACGGGAGCTGTGACACCTGTGAACCCTGTGCAGGCAGAGGTGGGACATGCTCCAAAGTGGGGCAGTGGATTCAGGGGTGTCCTCCCAAGCACCTTCCTTTCCTTGAGTGCTGAGCTGGAATGCAGAGCACCTTGAGAGAAGCTCTGTGCCCTGCTGCCTTGCCAAGGCACAGAGCAGAGGAGAGGCAGGGAAAGCAGCATTAAGGCAGCTTGGTGAGGGCCAGGTGCCACTGGAACTGCTTTTGTGCTGCTGTGCCCAGGGAGCCCAAGGCCAGGGGGCAAATGGAGCAGCCATGGCAGAACTGAGCAGCCCCCAGCCCGTGCCCTCGAGCAGTGGCAGCAGAGCAGCTGTAGAACCCTGAGATCTGAAAGCCCCCACTCTCCTGGGCTGGGCTCAGCACCCCTCACTGCCCCACACCATCCAGCACTGGCCCGGCACAGGGACAGCCAGGCAGCCCCTGTCCTTCATGGCACACTTGGCTGCTGGCTGACCCTGCCCTCCTCAGCCAGGGGCTGCAGCCAGCCCTGCCTGCCCTCACCAGCCCTTCCTGCCCTCACCAACCCTTCCTGCCCTCACCAGCCCTGCCTGCCCTCACCAACCCTTCCTGCCCCTCACCAGCTCTTCCTCCCCTCTCCAGCCCTTCCTCCCCTCACCAACCCTTCCTGCCCTCACCAGCCCTGCCTGCCCTCACCAACCCTTCCTCCCCTCACCAACCCTTCCTGCCCCTCTCCAGCTCTTCCTGCCCTCACCAACCCTTCCTGCCCCTCTCCAGCTCTTCCTGCCCTTTCCAGCCCTTCCTCCCCTCTCCAACCCTTCCTGCCCCTCACCAGCCCTTCCTGCCCTCACCAACCCTTCCTGCCCCTCACCAGCCCTTCCTGCCCCTCTCCAGCTCTTCCTGTCCCTCACTAACCCTTCCTGCCCCTCTCCAGCCCTTCCTGCCCTCACCAACACTTCCTCCCCTCTCCAGCCCTTCCTGCCCCTCACCAACACTTCCTGCCCTCTCCAGCCCTTCCTGCCCCTCACCAGCCCTTCCTGCCCCTCACCAACCCTTCCTCCCCTCTCCAGCCCTTCCTGCCCCTCACCAACCCTTCCTGCCCTCTCCAGCCCCTCCTGCCCCTCTCCAGCCCTTCCTGCCCCTCACCAACCCTTCCTGCCCTCTCCAGCCCTTCCTGCCCCTCTCCAGCCCTTCCTGCCCCTCACCAACCCTTCCTGCCCCTCTCCAGCCCTTCCTGCCCCTCTCCAGCCCTTCCTGCCCTCACCAACCCTTCCTGCCCCTCACCAACCCTTCCCGCCCTTCACCAACCCTTCCTGTCCCTCACTAACCCTTCCTGCCCCTCTCCAGCCCTTCCTGCCCTCACCAACACTTCCTCCCCTCTCCAGCCCTTCCTGCCCCTCACCAACACTTCCTGCCCTCTCCAGCCCTTCCTACCCCTCACCAGCCCTTCCTGCCCCTCACCAACCCTTCCTGCCCCTCTCCAGCCCTTCCTGCCCCTCACCAACCCTTCCTGCCCCTCTCCAGCCCTTCCTGCCCCTCACCAACCCTTCCTGCCCCTCTCCAGCCCTTCCTGCCCTCACCAGCCCTTCCTGCCCTCACCAACCCTTCCTGCCCCTCACCAGCCCTTCCTCCCCTCTCCAGCCCTTCCTCCCCTCACCAACCCTTCCTGCCCTCTCCAGCCCTTCCTGCCCTCACCAGCCCTTCCTGCCCTCACTAACCCTTCCTGCCCCTCTCCATCCCTTCCTGCCCTCACCAGCCCTTCCTGCCCTCTCCAGCCCCATGCTGGCCCAGACCCCACAGGCAGGAGGTGCAGCTCAGCCTGAGGAGAAGGCAGGCAGCAAAATGCAGTCTGCAGTCAGAGCTGACATCACGGTGATCGATATAAAAGTGATTCTCAGGGTCCTTGTCTCCTCTGGAAAGGGTCAGAGCCAGGCATCCCAGTGACCTGTGGGATCCTCCCAGTGGCAGGACTCAGCTGGAGCCAGTGGGGTCCCTCCTGGCCTCAAGGCCACCAGTACAGACAGAGGCAGCACTCCCACCCAGCAGGGAAAGGGTTCTCAGCTCTTGCATTTATCAGGACCTGAGATTTGACAGCCACAGCCCCTGAGCTGGACAGTGGTGTGAGCTTGGCCTGGGAGCCATGGCCAGGCATAAAGATGGCAGGAGCAGAGTGGAAAGAGCTGGGAGATTCCACACCAGCAGCAGTGGGCCCAGGGAGGCCTGGCCAGTGTGTGTCTCTCACATGGGAGACTCGCTCCACTTGGGTCCCAGCTGGATCTCACACACCTGGATCAGCCCTGCCTCTGTTCCACACCCCCAGGAATGTGGGTGCTGGGTCATGGGTGCACTCCAGGCAGGGGCCTGTCCCCAAAGCAGCCCCAGGGGTGGTTTGGGGTCTGTTCCAGAGTGGGCACATGGAGCAGGCTGGCAGGACACGGGCTGAGTCCCTGCTCCTTCGGGCAGGAACAAACCCTCAGCTGTGAGCTGTGGATTGAGCCTGCACCTGGACACAGCCTGCAGATGTGAGCCTCACCTGGAGGTGCTCCAACCCAACACCATCAGACACAGCCTCAGACTGGCTCTGGCTCCCAGGGAAGCCCTGCTGGGAGCAGGGATGGGAACAGGCAATGCAGGGCTGGCTCCTCACAGCTGCAGCACAGCCCTGCATCCCCAGAGCACCATGTGAGCTCTGGCTGCTCAGCCCCATGGCTCCCTGGGCAGCAGGGCAGGGCCAGCAGCTCCATCCAGCAGAGCCAAGGTGGAATCTCCTGTCAGCACAAGCTGTGCTCAGCACAAGGGCTGGCACTGCTCCCCATGGCATCCCAGCTGCTGCCCTAGTCTGGGCTGCCCTGGCACTGGTGTGGCATGGACATGGCTGTATCCTCACATCTGGCCTGGCTGCTCCTTGGCCACGTCCTTGAGGGCAGGACAAAGGTCAGCAGCAATCCAAGTGAGCCACAAAGCCAAGGCTTGCTCCTGGAAGCCTGGGCTTCCCCATCTTTCTCCTGACTTGTCCCCCACCACATGTGGCTCATCCTGGTCGGTCCTGGGTGCCCTGGCTCTGCTTCTGATCCCCCCCACAGGATGGGCAGGCGGGGTGGAGGCTGCTGTGTCTGCTCAGTGCTTCAGGCCTCCTGTGGCACCAACAGTTCACTCCTGTCTAGTGAGGGAACAAGAGACTGTGTCTGCTTTAAATTAATTGTGGAGTTGTCATCTTGCTGGGGTTAGAAGTGCTTTTCATGCCCAAGGTGCCACTCATCTCTCAGCAGAGAGGCCAGAACAAGGTCTGTGTGCCCAGGCTCCTCTAGAGGGACTTGTGAGCCTGACTTGTTTCAGGAAGTAATTTCAGCCACTCAGAGTCACATTCAACTCAAAACCTTAAAGAGCCCATGAAGGTCTGGGCTCTGAGCCCCAAGCTCTGTCCACAGCAGCACTTTTATGTTCAGTGACGTGATCTGTGTGATGAACAGCCGGGTCCAGCCCTGTCCCAATGCCCCACAGAGGCCCAGTGAGACCGTCCCCTCCTCCCCCTGTGACGCCTGGCATTGTGCAGCTTGTCCTGGCTGTGTGAGCATGTCTGGAATGGAGGTGTCCAGTGGCAGGGAATGGCTGTGATGTGCTAAAACAGAGGCCACCAAAGCAAGGGCTGCCTGGCATGAGCTGCTAAGGGAGGGTTGCGAAGGAATTGTGTTGCTTATTCCCACTACACCACAGCAGAAGCACAGCAATCTCCCCAGCTCCCCACGATCCTGCTGGTCCCAGGATGGTGGGCTGCGCCCTCCCTCACATCTGCTGATGCTGCCCTTCCTCCTGCAGGTGCCCCACGGGGAGTGGAACAGCACACTGTCCCGGGACAAGGACAGCGAGATCCCGTGCCGGCGCATGCGCAGCGGGAGCTACATCAAAGCCATGGGGGATGATGACAGCGAGGACTCAGAAACCAGCCCCAAACCATCCCCAAAAACTGCAGCTCGGAGGCAGAGTTACCTCAAGGCCACACAACAGTCCCTGAGTGAGCAGAGCACCACACAAAGGTAACGCTGGAGCTCCTCTGGGAGCTCTGCACAGGCCCTCAGGGCCACCCCTGGAGCAGTCCTTGGGTTGCAGCAACCCACAGAGTGTGGCATCAGAGCCCAGCAGGGCTCCTGCACCCCAGCTCTAACAGAGAGATGAGGAGACAGCTTGACAGGAGAAGATGTGGCACCCCATCCTGGTGATTCCCAGTAGCCCCGGCGTTAGGAGCTGCTTTAGGTCTCTGTCCCCTCAGCCATGGGGGGAGCACTCCTCTGATGGAGCTGTGGGGATTTCCTCTTCAAGCATCCTCTGCTCTGGGGGAATGCAGAGATCCCAACCCCAAGAGGCCTCTTGGCCATGGAAGCTGCTCACCTGGCATGGCTGAGGACACTCAGCCTGCTGGGACTGTGCCTGGAGCTGCTCTGCTCCAGAGGTGTGCAGGTGTTCCAGCTGTTCCACCTCTGGAACAGAAAGGTGGCACACATGGAGGATATCCTGAAGGGCTGAGAGGTTTTTGAAGGAGGAAGACCCACAGTGGTTTGAGCCAGACAAAGCCAGGGGAGCAGAGCAGGAGCTTTGCTGGGCCAGAGGCTGGTCCTGAAGGAGGGGCTCTGCATAAGCTGGGCAGTGATGCCGTGCAGTGTCCTCAGCACCTGCTCCACATCCCGGGACAAGGCACCTGGGGGCTCTCAGTGCTCCGGGTGCTGCAGCTGGGGCAGCTGTGGCTGCTACAGAGGAACTGCTGGGGATGAACTGCTGAGGCTCAGCAGGCAGAGGGAAGTGGGGTGCAGGCAGCGCAGGGGCACCTCACAGAGCCTTCGCATCAAGACCAGGTGCTGCTTTCTGCTGGGAGACGGTGATAAAATCAGCTGTAGGGAGCCCTGGAAATGCCTGCTCTGGATCCATTCCTGTTCTGAGCCCTCACATCCGCCTCAGGGGAGCAGGGTGGGGTCCTGGGGTCTCTGGTGAAAAATACCCACCTAGAGAGGCTGGGGCTCCTTGTGCCCATGCAGCCTGTCCCTCGGGATGAGCGCTGGGCTCAGCCAGGGCCGGGCCAGGCCTGGGGAAGCTCTGGGGAGCGCGGACAGAGGGATCGGCTGCGAGGGCTCCGAGCCCTACAGGAGCTCTGCGGGGCAGGACCCGGCAGAGCCTGGCCGGGAACGGAGCCGGAGCTGGAGCTGAGGATAGAGCCGGGGCTGAGACCAGGGATAGAGCCAAGAATGTAGGCGGGACTGGGGCTGGAGCCGGGAATAGAGCCGGGGCCGGAGCCGGGAATAGAACCGGGGATGGGGCCGGAGCCGGGAATAGAACCGGGGATGAGGCCGGAGCCGGGAATAGAACCGGGGATGGGGCCGGGGCCCGGCCGGAGCCGGGAGCGGAGCGCGGCCGCCACCTGGTGCCCGACCCTCGCCGTCCAGCGCAGCCCCGAGCCCCGGCAGCCGAGGGACCCCGGGCTGGGGCTGGGACAGGGGGGCCGCAGGGCCAGCCAGAGCCAGGGCAAGGCACAGGGCCGTCCCTCTGCGATGGTCTCTGCCCCTCCAAGGGCTGCTGGCCGCTCGGTGACGCGGTTTCCCCGCGGGCAGGCGGAGGGAAGGCCGGAGGGGTGGCACAGGGACGCTGCCCATGCCAGGACGCGGCTGGCTCGTGGCGTGAGCTCACAGATAAAATTCTCAGCATGAGGGAAAGCCAGCAGTCAGCAGAGAGCCCAACGCTGGGGGAGTCGCAAGGCCCTTGGGCCCCAAGACCCTCCAAGGGGTGTCTCCTCCATCTCTCCTGGCAGAGGGGACAATTCCCCGCTCCCATCCCACCCCGGGATGGACACCTTAGAGTCCCTGTGGGATGCCCACAGGCTGCACAGGGCCTGCTGTGCCCCCAGCTCTGCTGTCCCCAGGCAGGTGCCAATCAAAGCTCTGTACCCACGGCCCTGGCAGATGTGGGGGAGGCGACCATGAGGGCCTGTGCTGGGATCACAGGCCATTCCAGAGGGAGAGGCCCCACAGCTGTCCTGGGCCACTGTGGCTGGCGATGTCCCCCTCCGTGTGCACGCAGACTCCTTCACACATGGTCTTGTGGTGGAACAGAGCCCCAGGGGAGCCCCATCCTTCCCAATCCCTCCCTGCCCCATCCTTCCCCATCCCTCCCTGCCCCCATGTGCCTGGGTTTCAGTTGAGGTCTGGGCTGGGTCAGGTTCAGTGAGAGCCCGGCTCTCCTGTGCACAGCCTGCTGCTCTGCCCCAGGACATAGTGGCAGTTTCTCCCAGCAAAGCTGTACTGGAAATACTGATCCACTGCTCGTGCAGCATTGTCATTCCAGCTAGGTTCCCACTGGACTTCTTCCAGATAATCTATACAAATGTAAATATATATATCTTGCAGTTGTTTCCAATTGCAAAGTCCACAAAATACAAATTAAAAGTCATTTCTCACCTTGCCTCTCCCCCCTTTTCCAGCAATCCAGGCAGTGCTGTGGCTGGAGGCTGGCACAGATCGCACATGCTCCCTGAGGCTCTGCTGGACTAACTTGGCATCTGCAGTGCTTTCCTGGGGCAGCAGGACCCAAAATCTTGCCCTTCTCCTTCCACTGCACCCCACAACCATTTCCCTGTGTGCCATTCCCAGCCAGGGGCTGGCAGGGCAAGGAAGAGCTGCCTTCTCCACAGCCAAGCAGTGGGCACAGTGCCCAGCATCACCTCAGCACTGCCATGCGTGCCTGAGCCTGTGCCCATGCCCGTGCCTGGCAGAGGGGCCGTGGGCAGGGGGGTCTGGCCGTGGGCAGGGGGGTCTGGCCGTGGGCTGTGGGGTCTGGCCATGGGCAGGGGGGTCTGGCTCTGCCCCAGCACTGCCCCAGCCATGGGGACACCCTGACACCCTCTCTCTGCCAGCAGGAGCCTGGACCGCCTGGACTCTGTCGAGATCCTCCTACCTCCGAAGTTCCCCACCTGGGAGGAAGAATACAACCAGATCTCTGACAGTGCCAACGAGTCCAGCTGCATCAACCAGGTGAGATGCTGGCACAGGCAGTGAGGAGGCCAGCTCAGGAGGGAAGGAGCATCTTCTTCCCTCTTCAAAGCAAGGCACTGGCTGTGCTCCAGGAGCTGCACAGGCTGTTCCCTGGCAGCTTTACCAGTGTCATGACCAGCTCTTTAATCAGGATTCCTATTAGACCTCCTTCCTGCAGCTTTGCCTCCTCTCACGCTGCTGGCGCAGCCAAAACCCCTCTGCCACAGATATGGTAACCCAGAGGGTGCCCCACAGTGCTGGGTGAAGCTCATGGCTGCTCTAGGTGCAGGGTCTCACTGTGTCACCCCCAGAACCATCTACAAGGCTGTTCAACCTTGTTGCAAGCCCCTCATGCCCACTGGGTTGGTCCAGAGCCGACCTCATCTGGTGATGTCCAGCCTGGGACTCCGCAGGGTCACCAGGGACAGTCACCCTGCTCAGCTCAGGACCTCACCCCTTGTGCAGCAGACTGGCCCCAGGAACAAAGAGCCCACAGCTGGGGAGGCTGTCCAGCCAGCCAGCTGGGCATGTCTCTTTTGGATATTCCTGGGCACCATGGCAAAGCCAAGGATGCCTGTGAGATGCTGGCAGAGGGTGGCAAACCCCTTGCCACAAGGTGAGCTCATGCCCCAACCACAACATTTGGGATGTAGTTGATGCAAAATGGGTCTAACTTCCCACACTATGGTTGTGGGGTTGTTCTGGAGCTCCCTGGGGCTGGGATTGCTCTGAAGCTGCCTCCCAGGCCACAGATAACTGGTGCCAGGATGAGCAGAGGTTCCACGTGCTCATCTCAGCCCTTCCAGCGCAGGGCAGCGATGGCCCCATGGCTTTGCCCAGCAAGCCCTGTCACCCCAGGCCTCTGCCCCATCTGTTCCTGTGTGTCTGCACGGGCAGCACCCCCACACTGCTCTGTGTGTGTAGGGGACCAGAGCAGCAGGGAGCATCAGAAGCCCTGGGGGAGGGGGGACAAGGGCATGTCCTGCCTGTGTTCCCATCCAGGTGTGGGGGGCACTGAGCCCTTGGCTGGAGTCTGCTGCTGTCCCAGAGCAGTCGGAGCCCTTGGAGGGGAGCTGGGGGAGCAGGGGCATTGCTGGGCATTCCTGTTCCCTGTGGCCAGTCCTGACCCTTGTGCAGCAGCAGCAGCAGCAGCAGCAGCCATGTGCTGGGTGTCTCAGTGCACAGCGGGGTCAGCACCACCGTGTCCTCGTCCTTTGCGTGTCAGTCCGTGCTGAAGTCCCTGCAGGAGACCATGGCTCTGTGCTCTGTCCATGTCCAGAGCTGCTTCCAGGAGCTGAGTGCAGCAGCCCCACAGAGACATCAGGAGGGTCTTGGAGCTGAAGGGTCTGAGCAGCCCATGATGAGCCAGGAGCTGCACAGGCAGCCAGCCCAGAGCCAGGCTGGTGGCACTGGGATTGCTGGGGACACTCCGACTGCCACAGCACCCGCTCACACGGGGGGCTGCTGCCAACACAGGCACTCTGCCACTGTCCCCTGAAAACCAGAGAGCTCAGCTGCAGCTGGTCAGGATTGAGAGGCCTCCCACAAACTGCATGTCTGTTGGTCCAGAATGGAGCTGGTTCATGGTCAGTGTGTGCTGGTCTCATCCATCTCAGTGCCAGAGGCAGTTCCTGCCCTGCCCTCACTTCAGTGCGACCTCCACCACCTTCCCTGTGTGTCCAGCCAGACCCCAGTGTCTTCCCACATGGAAACACCCCTAACTCTGACAGACAAATCCCCTCTGCTCGGTCCCACTCAGCTCCACCTCTGGCAGTCCAGGGATCACCAGGTGCATATGTCAGCACCTCCGGTCACACCAAGGGGGACAGAGCTGGTGACCCCAGCACTGCCAAGCCCCACCATGAGCTGTGCCCTGTGCAAGAGGGCCAGGCCCATTCCCAGAGCCAAGCCTCTTCCCTCAGGCACACTTTGAGCCTACATTCTCCCCAAGAGGGTCATCCAGGGCAGGCGGTGCCAGGCAAAGCCCTGAGGGTGGAGAGGAGGAGGAGAAGGCAGCCGTGCCCTCGGGCAGTGCAGTGTCTGTCAGGACTCTGTCCATATGTGTGCCGTGGCTTTGCTCTGCTGGGGAGGCAGAACAGCTTCTGTGTGGCTTCTTCTGGCACAGGGGGACAGCAGCGAGGTGGCCAGGCCAGCCCTGCAGGCTGCAGGACAGCTCCCCCCACACGGAGCACTCGGGCTGCCCACGGCTCTGTGGGCTCTGAGGTGTGGCCAGTGCTGGGGGCTACCCAGAGGTGCTCAGTGGGAGCCACAGCCACCTTGTGCAGCTGCCCCTGTGTGCAGAGGGCTGTCCCAGCACGGTGTCCCCAGTGTCCCCTGTGGTGTACATGGATATGGTGCACACAGCAGGCTGAATGCTCAGCAGCTTCTCCCGTGGTTGAGGTGTCCTGTGGAGCTTTGCCGTGTCCGTGCCACTGTCTGAGGGGCGTGTGGCCTCGCTTGGCATCTTACAAGCTCTGCAGTTTGTACTGAAGTGTCAGCAGCAGTGGCCCCAGGGGACAGCCCCCTGCTCCCCTTGTGCTCAGTCCCTGTGCAGTCACTGTCTGTGTGAGGGGCTCCCTGTTCTTGGCCTTTAACCTTCTCCAACTCTTTCTTCCAGATCTTTGGACCCCCCTCACTTATCCCTCAGATATTTACCCATGGAGAGCAGGTATTGTCCCACTGGCGTTTCTCTCATCCTTCCTCATGGAGCTTTCTGGGGCCAGCCTGGACACCCGTGGCAGGGTGTGAGGTGGGCTCTGGGGTCAGCCCATGCCCAGGCCAGTGGCAGGAGAAGGAAAAGAGGAGGAGAAGGAGACAGCACTCCTTACCCAGGCACTGCAAGGCAGCTGGAGAGCTTGAGTCCTGGGCCCAGCAGGGGCTTAGGGACCCTCAGTTTTAAGGGGAAAGCAGATGAACTTCTTAAGCCAAACCTCATGGAGCTCAGATGCCAGTGCTGGGCAGAAACAATGTCCTTGTGTGCCAGGAGAAAGAAAGGGCCAGGAGAGATGGATGTGGGCAACAGGGCCAGTCTCAGCATCTCTCACCTGTATTTCAGACCAGTCTGCTCTGGGCTGGGTCTGGTTTGACCTGGCTGAGCCTCTCCCAAGACCGAGTTTGCCCAGCAGCTGCCATGGGACAGCAAGGCAGGGCTGTGGGCAGGAGGGAGGAAGGGGAGTGCAGTGGGAGAGCTGCCCCAGCCCTGCTCACCCCTGGCCACAGCCAAGCCCTCTCCTGGCCCTCACCAGGGATGGGGCTGGGGTGGATTCCAAGACCCACCCTAGGCAAGTGTGGGGGCTGTCCCCCAGCCCACAGCTCTCCCCTGCTGTCTCCCCACATTCTCCCCCGAGGAGCAAGCATGCCCTGGTGGGCTCTCACATTCAGGCTGAGGTATCCCAGCTGTGCTGGGATGAGGCCCTGGCAGAGTTTGCACTGGGATCTTGGCCACAGGTGCTCTCAGCAGCAGGACTGGGGGTGTTTCACAGGCACTGTGCTGGTAAGTGTCCCCTACTCCACAAGCTGGGACCCTCTCCCCTCCAAGGAGGGGCCCTCTTCCCTCTCTCAGCAGAGAGCCCCGGGCACCCTGTGCCCAGCAGCACTGACCACTGACCACTGACCACTGGACCTGCCGTCCCCCCTGCCCTGAGCAGGACCTGCAGGAGCGGCCGGAGGGCGAGGAGCAGGAGGGACGGGACGGGACGGGACGGGACGGGAAAGGAAGGGAAAGGAAGGGAAAGGAAGGGCGGCCGCAGGCAGGGGCTGACTGTGCTGTCCCCGTGCAGGCACCCGAGCCGGAGCTGGGGGAGCAGTACGAGCCCGTCTGCGACTCCACCTACAGCGAGGCCGAGTCGGCGGCTGCGGAGGTGCTGGACCTGCCTCTGCCCAGCTACTTCCGATCCCGGAGCCACAGCTACCTCCGCGCCATCCAGGCGGGCTGCTCCCAGGAGGACGACACGGGCTCCGTCCGCTCCATCTCCCCGCCGCCCACGGGCAGCCTCAGCGGCAGCAGGACCCTGCCCACCAACAGCAGTGAGTGCCGCGGCGTGCGGGGACAGGGACACGGCTGGCACTGCCTGGGGGCTCTCGGGCATGCGAGGCGCTGGGCTCGGCTACCTGCATCCCCGGCCGTGGCTGACCGTGACTTTTGGGGCGTGTTGGGGCTTGCTGTGCGGCCGAGAGGATGGGCAGCAGCTGGATGTGGGTGCTGGAATGGCAGACAGGCTCTGGGCTCTGTGTCAAAGGAGGTGTGACCAGCAGGTCAAGGGAGGAGATTCCTCCTGCTCTACTCTGCTCTCATGAGACCCCTCCTGGAGAGTGACTCCAGTTCTGGGGCCCTTGACACAAGAAAGATGTGGAGCTGCTGGAGCAACTCCAGAGGATACCATGGAGATGATGCTCCAAGGGCTGGAGCCCCTCTGCTCCGGAGATAGGCTGAGAGGGTGGGAATGTTCAACCTGGAAAAGAGAAGGCTCCAGGAAGATCTTAGAGGTTAGTGAGGTGCTTGCACAGGTTGCCCAGAGCAGCAAGTGTCCGAGGAAGTGTCCGAGGCTGGACAAAGCTGATCCAAGGTTGGACAGGGCTTGGATCAACCTGGTCTAGTGGAAAGTGTTCCTGCCCAGGACAAGGGTGGGACTGGATGAGCTTTAAGCTCCTTTCAACCCAAACCATTCTGTGACTCTGTGATGACACATAGAGAACCCAACATCCCTGGCTGTGGAGTACAAACAGATCTTGCACTGAGTTTTAAGGCACCAACAAGCATTCCCAAGCCCCAGAGCCCAGCATCCCTGTGCTGAGCCATGACAGCATTTCCATAATGCTCCAAGTCACTTGATCTGCATCACTTTGCATCAATTTTTCCAAGGCAACCTGTGCCCTTCCCAGCTCTGGCCAGCCCCGGTGCTCCAGATGGGGCTCAGGTGTAGCACAAGGTGTGAGGAGCTGAGAGGTCCCATCCTGGGGATAATTTTGGGAACTGGTTAGCAAAGGTGATGCCTTGGTGTTCCTGAACATGGTGGCGCCTGTTCATGGTGCAAGGCAGGTGGCAGAGCAGGCAGGAGGAATGCAGAACCTCCCCAGGGCTGTCTGTGGAGGCAGCACATCCCATCCCCATGGGTCCCCAGCAGGATGGGGCCTCTCAGCACCAGCCCTGGCACCAAGGGGGGTTCAGAGCAGCCTCAGCTCATCTGCTGTGGGCAAAGCTACCACAGGACTGGGATGGGATGGGATGGGATGGGATGGGATGGGATGGGATGGGATGGGATGGGATGGGATGGGACGGGATGGGCTGTCAGTGGGAGACAGCACATCCCAGCTCTGGGTAGAGTGGGGAATGGGGAGGAGGCACTGCAGCCTTCCTGCCTGGATGCAGACCTTCCTCCCCAGGGATATGGGCATGGAACATCTCCCTTCAGTGGTCTGAGCTGCAGAGCCATCCCAGTCAAGGTCCCCAGGATGAGGCAGGAACTGGAGGACATCCCTGGGAGGGATGGGCTGTTTGCTCAGCCCTGTCCCTCCTTCCTGCCACCCTCTCTGCTCTGCTCTGTCCCACTCCCCACACCTGGCTGCCCCTGTCCCACAGCCCTCTCCTTGCTCTCAGTGCTGCTGAGCTCAGTGCTGCCACAGGTCCAGGCTGGCACCGGGCAGCAGCAGCAGGCACAGCACAGAGGGGGCTTCCAAAATGCCTGGGTGCCACCTCTCTCTGACATGACCCAGCACAGTTCTGCTGGTTCCCAGAGCATCCCCCAGCCCTTCACATTGGCTGCTGGGCCTTGGGGAGGGAAAGGGTTTTGGTGGAGGATTGAGGAGCAGAGAGGAGCATCTGTGGTTGTGCATGCACAGGATGTGGGAGGCAGGAGACACATCTGGACAGCACTCACACCTCTAATCAGCCATCTGGGCTCAGTTCCCTTGCAAATCATGGAATTATTTTGATTGGAAAAGCCCTTTAGGATCAAGTCCAACTGTTAACCCAGCACTGCCAAGGCCACCACAAACCCATGTCCCCGAGTGCCACATCCACAAGTTTTTTGAACACTTCCAGAGATGTGTTCCACCACTGCCCTGGGCAGCCTGTGCCAGTGCCTGAGCACCCTTTCCATGAAGAGCTTTCCCTAATATCCAACCTAAACCTAAACCTCTCCTGGTGCATCTTGAGGCCATTTCCTCTCATCCTGCCACTTGTTACTTGGGAGAAGAGCCTGATCCCCACCTGGCTGCACCCTCCTCTCAGGAAGTTGTAGAGAGTGAGGTCCCCCCTGAGCCTCCTTTATTGCAGGGTGAGCCCCTCAGCTTCCTCAGCTGCTCCTGGGGCTCCAGCCCCTTTCCCAGCTCCATTTCCTTCCCTGGATACATTCCAGCTCCTCAATGTCTTTCTTGTCACAGGGGCCCAAATGGACACAGCACATGAGGTGCCTCACCAGTGCTCAGCGCAGGGGACAGTCACAGGGGACAGCCACCCCATGGCTGGTACAGGCCAGGTGTCATTGGCCTCTTGCCCACCTGGGCACACCTGGCTCATGTTCAGCTGCTGTCAACGAGTACTCCCAGGGCCTTTTCTGTGCATCCCCGAGGCTCTAAGTGGCTGGTGGTGTAGGGGAGGGGCCTCCCAAGCAGCAGGTGGCAGCTTGGTGGCATCAGCCTGGACACACGGGGAGGGGTGGGTGCACTGTCACCTGCAGATGTAATGGTCACTCGAGGCCTCTGCTCCATGCAGGGCTCTGGGATGACACCATTAAGAGCCCTGATCCAGACACATCCCAGGGACACCTTCCTTCATCCAGCATCTGTGCACCAGCCCAGAGCAATGGGGACCACCACGCTTTTGTCTGTGCAGGGACACATCCTAAAGAGGCACCAGCAGCAGCAGTTCTGGGGCCAACACAGGCTTCTTGTTCCTTGAGGGCCATGTGGGGGTTGGATGCTGAAGCAGAGGGATTTGGGCACCGTCTGAGGGCAGGAGGAGGGGCAGGAAGCTGCATGCGCGGTGTGTGGGGAGCACGGGGGAGAGCCCTGACAGCTGTCACACCCCTGCCACGCCAGTTCCTCCCACTAATGCCTGTGTCATCGGCACATTACAGGGCAATTAGCTCCCGTTTGACAGCCAGCGAGACAGATGATGAGCTGCCCTTGATCAGCCTTAAACAAAGCTTTGTGCCTCGCACAGCCGGAGACTCAAAAGCCCCAGTGGAACCCATTCCTCTAATTGCCAGGCCTGCAGTGACAGCCGCGCCCGCTCCCAGCACCACAAAAGGCTCCCCAGCCCCGGCTCCTGCTTATTAGAGGCAGCTCTGGGAATTACTTGTTTAATAGACTGCTTGCAATGCAGAGCAGAGTATTTGATGTCCAGGGGAAACAGGAAAGCAGAGGTGAGCAAGCAAATACAGCAGGGAAAGCTCACACCAAGCCAGTTGTACTCGAGCTCTCCCCAGTCCTCCTTGTGCCATCTGGTAACACCACCCTTGCTCAGAGCATCCTGCCCTGGGATTCAGCAGCCTGCTCCCAAAAAGCTCAGGTGTCCAGCTCCTTATCCTGTGTCCAGATCTCCTGCAGGGAGGCCAGGGCTGCACGCACCTTGTGCCCTCCATGTACCAGAACTTTTCCAAGCCCAGGCTGGGCAGGAGAGCACTGCCTGGGAGAGATACTCCCAAAGGTCAGGACAGAACAACTGCCCTCTGTCTCCCACCTGTTTCCTGTCTTCTTTGTATTGCTTTTGTTTCCCTGTTTGTGACTAAATTAGAGAGCTGGCTTCAGGGCCCATGGTTGTGCTGGGGGAAGGCACACAGGACCCTGGCATTGGTGCTCTTGCAGGGGCTGCAGGGCTGTGCTTAGGAGGAAGGACAAAGTGCCTAAGTGCCTGCACCCTCCAAGGGCTGGCTCACTGTGGGACGAGTTTCCACGGCTTCTGGGAAAGTCGTGTATCTTCCTCCTCCTTCTCCTCCTCGGTGTGCCATGATCCCGGGCTCTGTGTGGGCAGGCAGTTTCTGTTGCACTCCTTTTGGCTGTCATGGCCTTCTCTCCTGTGTGGGGAAGCAGCAGCGGTGGGAAGGCGCAGGGAGCTCACACCAGGCCAGGAGCCATGGCTGGGCCGGGGCTGAAGCACCACTGCGGCCCCTTGCTAATCCCCTCGGCCTGAGCTGACCCCACACGGCCTTTGGGAGGGACTGCTATCATTCCCTTCAGATTTTCTCCTTCTTTTTGACCTAGATTTCACGTTCCAGAAATAGCTTTCTCTGACATACAAGCAGGAAAGGGATTAGAGGGAGAGCGTGTGTGTGTGTATGTGTGTGTGCCAGGGAAAGATTTCTGTTGCATGCTCCATCAGTGTTTGCAGAGGAAAAAAGGGCACGCACACACATTCTGTGATGTATTCATGTGTCTGTGGGACAAAAAGAAATTCATGACAGCTGTTTCTGTCCACATTTGTCAATTCAATTTTCACCTCTGATCTTTGCCTTGTTATTATGGAAACTCCAGCACCGCCCTGAGCCCAGCCAGCGCTCCCTTTTCCCCCGGAAGCCACGGCCACAGCCCCGCTCTCGGCTCCACCCCCAACCCAAACCATCCCTGTCTTTATGTGCCCGGTGCTCTTTGCTGCCAGGTTTCAGCACTCCCACAGGCAGCACCAAGGGCTGTGAGCCCCTGCCTGCTGCAAGCACGTGGCTGGCACGCAGAACCAGCTGCAGTGGGTTTGAGCCCACAGAAATGCCCAGGTCCCCGGGAAGGGGGGGCTGCAGCCATGCTGTGGGATGCTGTGCTGGCACAGACGGGAGGTGAGCACGGCTCCAAGGTCCTGGCCCAGCCTGCCTTCTCCCAGCAGGGATCATCTACAAAGGAGTAGAAACAAAGGCAGCTGCCAGCATTTCCCTTTGCTGACATGGTCAGAAAGACAAGTCCTTCTTGTTGCTTGCTTTTATCAGCTTTGATAGCAGGAAAGGGAGTTGGTGCTGTCCTCGTGGGAGGGGAGAAGCCAAAGCACCAAGGGGTGCCTCAGCTCACTCAGAGCCTCTGGGAGGGCAGCACCAGGAGTC